TTAACTGCTTTAGATTTTTTTGCTTGGTATGATAAAGATGATATTGACTTTGTATAAATCTGGAAATGGGCTGTTTAAATGTTGAACAACAACTTTAGTAAGTTACATTATTTTAGCTTGGTATGATAAAGATGATATTGACTTTGTATAAATCTGGAAATGGGCTGTTTAAATGTTGAATAACAGCTTTAGTAAATTACATTATTTTGTTTTTGTTCTGTCTGTCAGACAAGAATGAGAGTTAAAAGTTAAAACTGCCTTAGAATAACCAAAGTTTTCTTGTGATGGGTTAGTCAGTAGAGCATTGAAAAATATAGTTAATTGTTATTAGGAACAATGGTATGTGTTTGTGTGTGTGAGGAAGAATATTTCTGGAAAGTATGAACAAATATTCAAAGGAATTTATTCATTTTAATAATTATTGCTTCTTTTTTGTGGTTGAAATTACTGAACTATGTTTATATATAATGTAAGTTGTTTTATATGTGGAAATATCTGTTAGCCGAGTTCTTGCACAGATTTTAAAATATAACGTTGATAAACGGAAACATTGGCACATGTAGATATGTAGATCTTGAAAGTAGAGTTGTTCAAAACTTGAAAATAGCGTTGATAACTCGACCAATTGTTGGTTAAGATATTGCAAAGGAAATATCTGCTGAACATTTTTGCCAGACACTAGTAAAAGCACCATATTTTTGCACTTCAAACTTGTTTCACTCCTTCTGCATAATTTTTGGATAATGTTTTTCTTTATGTAAAGTAACTATGTAGCTTCATGTATATATGTACCGTATTTTTCAGAATATAAGACGCACCCTTATTTTGAAGACAAAGTTTTGGGGGAAAAAAGCTACAGTTGCATTTGAAAGATTTTTACTGAACAAAAATTCAATTTGATACTTTAAAAATTATTACATATTGTTCTAAACACAAAAGAGCTCAAAACATCAAAATATGAAAATACTGTAATTATCAAAAGAGGTTTACTGTTATTTAGTTTGGTTCAAAACCTACAAAATCTTCATTGCTTTCACTTTATTTTTTTTTGTTATTTAGGGAGCATTATAAATAGTTATGTTTTTAAAAGAAAAAAACTATTATTGTTATAAATAACACATTCAATTGAACTAAACTATGCATGCCTACTTATGGCTTGTGTATATCATATATATACATATATATTATTTATACCTTCGGTGTATAGGACGCAAGCAGATTTTGACATCAAATTTTGGGGTAAAAAAGTACGTCTTATACACCGAAAAATACGGTAATTATGATCCCATAGCATAGCAATTATTGACCAGTCATTGTCTACCATGTGACATTATCTTTATCTTGATATCCTATTACCAAAAATTATTTCATTTTCTTTTCAAACTTTCATGAAATTTAAAGATAT